GTGAACATGGTTGGCATCTCTTATTTCAACATTTAGCATTTCAAGGTATCACAAATAGGTGAATTACGTGTTTTTACAATATAACATATTAAAATGATTTAGAACTTTCATTTCATAGTATTGTATTCATTCAGTGATATCATGGTGTGTGCTGCTGAAAAAGCATTTGTTAAATAATAAAAATTCAAAATTCATAGGTACGAATGTACTACTTTCAGAAGTGCTGCACTTTTCAGATGAATTCATGTTAGCCCAAGCAAAACTGATATCCTTGAATGATTTTTAAAAATGTGCATGCTGCACATTTTGCTGAAAACATCAAAACCTGTGCTTATTAAATCATCCTGAAACCCGGTTCTATGACTTGTAAAAGAAATTAGGCCCTACATTCAAAGTGCTGGTTAAGAAATATTGTAGCTTTAAAGAATCAGAGAAATATTTCTATTTTATAGATACAAATTTCATGAGATAGAAATGAATATAGTCGTTTAATGTTGATAAGGATCCAAAGATAAGGATCCAAAGATGCTGCTGACAAAGGCTACCTTTAATGAGCTGATTTTCCAAAGCATTTTAAAAAGGTTAACAAACAGACACCTTTCAAAACAACTCCAAGGAACCTTCTCTAAATGTGTGCTCTCTGCTTACCTGGAATACATATCAAGGCACTACAATATTGCCAAAAGAAAACATGTTGTTTTCCCAGTTACACATAAATACCTTTAAAGGTATGTTTGGGAGTCTTTAAATTTTATTATCAATTTGTTTCTGTTCAAAACAACAGCACAAGCTGTCCATTAAGAAAGGGAAGAACAGCGGGAGGTTATAGAAGAACAGCTGTCTCTAATCACCGTGTCAATTGATACACATTTAGAAATCTACCTCCCCAAAGAAAGAAAAATCAATATGCATTTATAGAACAGCCAGCATTTCAAATACATGGTTAGTGTGACTAGATTCAAAGTTCTTAAGCTTTTTACCTGTGACCAACAGGGAAAGAATGTTGCCATTTGTCGTGAGCTGTTCTATGAAGAGTGGTGTCTTCTTACATCACATCATTTCAAAGGATTTGCTAGGACGACTGGATTGGCTCAAGCTGAAACAGCAGCCCAATGACTAGAAAATCTGCCTCACAGTTTAAGAACCTACAGGGCTTCAAGCATCTATGATGCCATAGTATTTGCATTCTTAAAAAGACACCCCAAAAATCAAACAACGAATGTTGAACATGTATTCTTCAGCACTATTTCAAAGTATTTCTACTCTTCATTCCAATGGTCTGGAGACATAATTAGACACTGTCAACTCTACCAATATTGCAATGGCTAATGAGCACAGGCTGAAAATATTAAATATATAGTAAATATACTTTAAAAATCAGATAAAATTAATTCACACATGCAATTTTATATATGCCATTTTAACTTTAAATTAATGGGGGTCTTGAGAAAAATAAAAATCAATGTGTGGAAAAGTAATCTTATTTTAAGTTTATGGGCTCTTACGCTGTGCTACTCTATTAGATATTATTATCTGCCTAAAATGTGCCTGTTAGACATGATATTAGTCTTGGAAGATAAGATTATATTACTGTGTATACCTATGGTTTTGGTGGAATCCTAAAACCCTAAGCACATGGGGAAGCCAATGGAATGCTCTTTTCAGGAATATTATTCCAGATATATGAAGAGTGCCCTTCACCTTCTTTTTATCAGTGGGTCCTTAACCTGGAGTTGGATCAAAGAGGTGGGACAAAGGCTACTGATTTGCTGATCTCTTCTTGTAAAGAGATCCCCTGATACAGACCAGACATCAATAGAGAATTCACTAGAAAGGAAGAAATAAACATGACTCCCTTTTAAAATCCTTTCATTCACTTATTCATTCTTTCATTCTTCTAATTATTCAGCCTATACTTTTTTCAAGGACTACACAGACAGGGACGTTACTAAGCACTGTAAATACATGTCTTTGAACTACTTTGGATATAGAAATGATAATAATAAAAAAACAATATGATACAAAGTAATAATGGATTGGCCATGGTGTCAAAACTACAGAAAATGATATACTTTACAGAAAGGAAGAACGCCCAGTTTGAGAAAGAGCTGAAGCATCCCTGAAGCCAGCCAATAGAGTGGGTATTTTGTAGAGCACATTAGAAGGAAGTAGTGATGTGTTCAGAATTCAATTCATGAAGGATCAGTATTTGAAAAAACACATCTTTAATAACTGCATAGTGAAGAATATAATTCGGTATAGAAATCCCGATGCAAAAAATAGGGTTCTCTTTACAAAACACTTTGGACAAATTCACAGATACATAGAGCTACTTCTAGAAAGTAACATCATTTCCTTAGCCAGAATATCAAGGTGGTTCAGGAGGATTAAATAGGGTTCAATATAAACTTTTTAGAGTTCTTCATAAATGGTGTGTTTATGACTTCATAGACGTGTGTTATAATAAGGCAGGCAATGCTCAATATGAATGTGAGTGCATGTGGCCTCTACTCTCCCCCCCACGCCACCTGTCCTCGTTACAAACTTACCTCTTACCCAACAAGGTGAAAAACAGAAACCCAACAATTCTAGACAACAGCAAAGAAATCTGAGACTTTGATTTCAAGAGGAACAGAAACCATTGGTAATGACAAAAATAGTTAATGCAACCTAAATGGCTAGACCCCATTCATAGGACAGATTCCTGGCTGCTTCAATACAACTCAGGCCTAGAATTGTTTTTAGGTATCCAACGCTAGGTACTGGCTTAATTCTCTTTCCCACTGAGAAACAATTTAACGTTTCATGTTTTTGCTTTTTCTCTCTGCTCACACTACAGTGGTCAGGTTCCATGCTAGGCAATGCTATGTCTGAGGCATACATAAGCATAAATACCTCTTAGGAAATTCCTAGACACTTTCAGCATATTCCCCAAATATTTTTTCTCTGCTTCCCAAGGTACCTTTCTGGATTTAAATGAACCCATTTTGTAAGAACAGTAACTTTCCTAACGATATTTATTGTAATGTAAAAACTACACTTCCCAGAATATACAGCCCCTGTTGAGTAACAAGGTTGTCATCAGTTCCAGACAGCAAGCGTTAATTTTCACTCTTTGGACTCTAAAGCTTGTCATTTCATTAGTTTCAGAAATGGCTCCACTGTTTATCTGCCTTTTTCACTCAATGGGAAATTATACAAGAACGTAACACATCACTTTTACAAATAATATTCACCACAAGTGAATATAATACATATAATTACAATTATTTCAATTACTTAAATTCTTAAATATGAGTAGTATATAATCACACATTCCACATTTTTTTATTCCACCGCTCCTTTCTTCATATTTGAACTTATATATTTCTACAAGTAATGATTTGAATTCAAAAAGTATCATCTCATCGAAAGACCATGAAAAGGTTGTATAAATGTCACTGCCTTGCTGCGAAATTTACATGCTCTTGCTGAACTCAACTCGGAACATCAGGCCTGGCCTTCCGCTGTAAAGGAAATGCACCTACGCGTGAAACAGCACGCCTGGCAATAGCTGCTTGACACAGAAGAGGCCTGAAAATGTGTGAGAAAAGGCCTTCTCTTAATCACACATTTACACATGCACCGCTCCTTTTTATTGTCTATAGAGTAATGCTGGATCTTAGTAAGAAAGTTCCCACTGCTCCTTCCCTTCTTCATCTGTAAGAGTTTGCACAGCCTCATATAAACTTCCAGAAATCAGAGTATGCCAACTAGAAACCAAACAGGCTTTTCTAAGCCATGCTTATAATATGATTATCATATAGAAATGAGGATGTGGGCATGGATTTTTATGGATTACATAATAATGTCTACACAGAAATTATAAAAATAGAACATTAAAGCTTATTTTATCAATGTAGTTGAATTCCTGTCATGTTAATTTATGCTTTGGTCACTTAGTCTAGACTCTGAGATCTTGAAGGCAACCCTGTGTCTTCCTCTTGTTTATATCTTCTCAAGTTTAATTTTTTCCTTAAAAAATAAGTAATGTCTCAGAGTCATTTTTTAAAAATAAGTAATAGGATAGTTGGAGAAATTCTGGAAAATTATAAAGAATGAAATCACTTATAATCAATCACACAACCCTGTAGTAGGATTTTCTCAAAAGGCTTTCTTTCTTTCTTTTCTTTTTAAATGACCAAAAAAATTTTTTTTTAATTGCTAATACTTTACCAAAATTAATGTTATTTTAAAATTCATTTAAAAGAAATTTTAAATATAAACAATGTTTTATAAAGAAAATTTAGAAAATCTAAAGAAATAAAAGGAAAGGAATACAATTACTCATAATGCCACCATCCGGTGATAGCTCACATTTGCTTCCATTTCCTTATCTATTTTTCTCTGTAACTAAAAGTAGGATAGCACTTATTGTCCTTATTATATTTTTTCACATATATATTAATGAGTAATTTACTGTTGTTAAATATTTTTTAAAAATAAAAAATAAATATCTGCATAATTTTCTATCTTGTTTCTGTAGAACATTTAATAGTTTGCTATTCAGCTATTTAAGAAGACAAGGCAGTAGAAAACATCTCTGCTTCAACATTATCAAAATTTCTTACCAATTCAGACAATTTTATTTGTGAAACAAGAAAATAAAAGCTTCCTTTTCTTGAAAAATATTTTTCTTAAATTGACCTAATATGTGTTAATTAAATTTGGATCTCTCTGTGTACCGCTTGCTCCATTTTTCTAACATAATGCTTATGCCAAGAAAAAGAACAACAGCAAAGAAAAATGAACACTTAAGCATTTGAGATCAGTATACTGTTTCTCATTTTAGGTGAAAATTAACTTCATAGTACAACTTTCTCAAACACGATTTTCTGCAACATTATGGTGATGATATTTTATTTAAACTAGTAGAATAGCAACAATAATGAAACACATATTCAGCATGTTTAAAATTACATTTTCCCCTGCAGAGAAAGAAAAATGTCAGAATTGTTTACCTGGGGATATGATGTAGAAGAAATCTTTAAATTCATCCATCCAAACTTCTGCCAGTCTCCTGTTGTTCTTGTTGATGACATGACCAGTGCCACCAGGAAAAGTATATGGAGTTGCCTTCCGGAAAACATGGCCCACATGAGAGCAAGTCACAATTTCCAGTGAGCCTCCACATTGCCAAATCTGGGGAAAAGAGCAATTGTTGTATAACAATCATCATAGATAATGCAGTAAAACTGACTGAGAAGCAACTGAGGCTAACTAAGCCCAAAGCTTCAGATCGTATATGGCTCAACCACATCAGATGAACACAATTTAGAACTAATATATTTAGGTTTGGCAATATATTCTAGTTTGAAAGAACTTTGTATATTTAAATATGGTAGCATTAGAATCATAGAAATAAGATGTAATTATTTCCATGTGCCTTTATTAGACAGCCCAATTTTCAGTTTCAAGTAGTTAACCTAATTGCTATTTGATATAGGGTATCCAAAATTTGCTATGAATAAATTTGTAAATATTAGATGCATGCTCAATAACTAAAGTTGATATAGAGAAAAATCAATCTATTATACTGCACACATCTGGGATTTTAAATGACCATTAAGTCCCAGTTGCCCATATCCCCTGTATGACAGGCCTTTGAATATGTTATTATTCTAATTAAAATATGCTAGAACTCCTTTATATCTCCTGAACATCTATGCATCCTGCAAAGCCCATCTCCAAGATCATTTTAGTATTGGATTTAATGTTGTGTGAGTTTTGTAGTTTAAACAAAATAGATCCAGAGACATAGAAGTATGGAACAGATTGGTGAATCTCAGAGGGAAGGTGGGGGTGGGGGAGTGTGGTGGGGGGATTAATCAAAGAACTAACTTATATGTAAAAATGCATAACCCGTGCACACAGACAATAATGTGGAGAAGGCCTGGGGCAGGGGTGTGGGCAGATGCAGAGTGAGGGGATCAATGGGGAAAAAAGGAGGATATCTGTAATACTTTCAACAATAAAGATAAATTAAAAAAAACAAACAAACAAGCTTTTATGAACTGATTACACACTATTATAAGCAATTGTTTATTTCACTATCACTCTTTTAAAACTATGAACACTTGGAAGACATATGCAATGTATAGGTTGTCTCCAAACTGTGTACATCCACAGTAACAGCTAATAGCTCAATTTTGAAAATGAAACACGTTTTTAAAAAATTTATCTTTATTGTTGAAAGTATTACAGATGCTCCCCTTTTTCCCCCATTGATCCCCTTCCAGGCCTTCCCCATACCAATCTCTATGTCCATGGGTTATGCATATGTGCATTTAAGTTCTTTGATTAATCTCTCCCCACTCACTCCCCCCTCCCCATCTTCCCAGAGATTCCTCAGTCTGTTCCATGCTTCTATGTCTCCGGATCTATTTTGTTCCTCAGTCTGTTTTGTTTATTAGATTCTACATATGAGTTAGATCATGTAAAACTGAATCAGGAAGAATCAGAAAACCTGAATAACTAATAACAATGGATGAAATTGAAGCAGTAATAAAAAAAACTCCCAGCAAACAAAAGCCCTGGTCCTGACAACTTCACAGGGGAGCTTTCTAATTCTTTAAGTTGTAGGGTTAGATAGTTTCCTAAAACTTTTCCTTGCTTTTTGAAGTAGGCCTGTAGTGCTATGAACTTCCCTTTTAGGATTGCTTTTACTGTGTCCCAGAGATTTTGGGTTGTTGTGTTTTCATTTTCATTTGTTTTCAGGAAGTTTTTGATTTATTTCCTGATCTTATTGGTAACCCATTCATTGTTTAATAACATACTATTTAGCCTCCATGTGTTTGAATGTTTTTGAAAAGGCTAAAGGAGTTTATCATCACCAAACCAGCATTGTAGGAAATGTTAAAGGGACTGCTGTAATAAGAAGAATAAATAGAGAGAAACATAAGCATAAAGATTTAAAACGACAATAAATAAGGACCTATCAATAATAACCTTAAGGACTTTAAGGAAGAGATCAACAGCAATACAGTCATAGTCGTGGACTTTAACACCCCACTTACTTCACTGGATAGATCTCCCACACAAAAATCAACACAAAAACAGTGACTCTAAATGGCACACTAGATCAGATGGATTTAATTGATATTTACAGAACATTTCACCCCAAAGCTGCAGGATATACATTCCTCTCAAGTGCACATGAGTCATTCTCAAAGATAGACCACATGTTAAGACACAAAACAAGTCTCTACAAGTTAAAGAAGATTGAAATCAGATCAAGCATCTCAGATCACAATGGCATGAAATTATAAATCAACTACAGGAAACACTGAAAACCATCCAAATACATGAAATGTATTTTAATAAACACTGCCTTTATAATTATTCAAAGTGTGTGTGTATACATTTTTTGGCACACCCTGTATTTCTTGTTATCCTAGATTTACTGTAAAGTTGAGGCTATGTATTAAGTAAAGTACCATAAAACATTTATTTCTATAAAATGACATTGTATATCCATAGGTTATACAAATAGCATGTGTATGTGTCTTTTATATAGACAGATATTATGTCTATGTATTATATTGATAGATATATTATATAGATATGATTTATATATACATATACTACACACACATTTATTTCATACATATGGTATATTACATATGAGCTACAGTTTTTACAATAAATAAAGTCATAGTGATTGCTACATGTAATTAGAGGGACTTGGTTTTATACTGTAGCTAACATTGTTCTTAGTTCAAGGAGAGTTGTTTACCTTTAAAGAAAATATTTTTTTACCCTGACTGGGTGGCTCAGTGGGTTGGAGCACCATCCTGTGCACCAAAAGGTTGTAGTTTCTATTCCAGTCGGGGCACATGCCTAGGTTGCCACTGTGATCCCCACTCAGGGCATGAACAGGAGGCCACCAATCAATGTTTCTCTCTCACATTGATGTTTCTCTCTCTCTCTCCCCTCCTTTCTCTCTGAAAATCAATAAAAACATATCCTCAAGCGAGGATTACAAACAAACAAAAAACCATTTTTTCCAGTTGGTCCCCCAAGTAATATTCGTCTTAGAAGAAGGCTGCTATAGGGCTTGGGTAGTGGTGTCACTCATTTTTACCAGAAGATGAAAGATGCTAAATAGTGATATTCATCAACAATGCTTTGTGTATTACATATACAGTCTATCCTTTCTCATTTTCTAACTGTCTAAACAGTGTAATGCTAACAGAAAAGATGTTCTAATCCAACACTGAGATGAGGGAGCAATATAAAAAAAGAATGGAATTCACCATTCCCCTCAAAAGACGGGATAGCTCCATCTTAAATAATCGATGTTTAATTAATTGGTAACTTTCTCATCTTTCTAGCATGAAAGCTATAAACCTTTTTGCAGTTACATACATCTTACTGTTGCATTCTCCCTTACTGTTGAAATGGAGGGAGTTAATCCTGTTCCCATCAGAGACAAATGTATTCTTGTCAGTGAATATCAGATCCCTTAAATCTACCTTAAAGACTTCATTGGTTTGGTCTTCCCCTTAATCGTCTCTTGAAACATGAATCACTTCCCTCATTACTAGACTATATCTACCTTCACATAATATTACCTAAAATCTCCTATCTTTCAAATAAGTTAAAAAAAAGAGATAAACAAATTTTTAAAAATTGCTAAATACAACAAAACCTGCATTCTTCAGTCCATATTTCTATTTAGCATCTTTTTTCTGTTTCCCCTCACTGTAAATAAACATAAAATTTGTATTGATATAAGTTGTTTCCCTTCCTCCATTTTAATCTATTTTTTTTTTTTTTTTTTTTTTTACTCATTGTGAAATGCTCCATATTTCTGTAGCTTCCCCAAAATCGCCATGGGGAAAATCACAAATTTTTCCCTTGACGAATACACATCAGACTCCTTGGATTCTCCGAATTTCTATCCCACTACTTCACTGTTTATATATTTCACCTGTAAATTTCTATTTAAATGTTGGCCTTCATCATTCCTTATTCATTCTCTAGGTGGTCTTAGTTGTTCCTATTACTTGACACATGATCTGAAGGATCACAACCTCAACAGTGACATCTCAGCCCAGACGTTTTCTGTGTGATCCAGACTTGTAAATCCAAACATCTACTCGATACGTCCTCTTGCAGAGATCCTCATAAACATGTCTGAAGTGGAATTGTCGATTTATCCCATCTTGTCAGTCAGGTGTTATTTTCTTTCAGTCTTTTTAAAAATCATCAATATGTGGTGCCACAGTTCACCCAGGTGGTCAACCCAAACAAACAAAAACGCCAGAAACTCCCAAAGCCCTAGAAGTCATCATTGATTTCTTTTTTTCTTTTATCACTTATATTCAATCCATCAACAAATCCTGGTGGTGCCATCTACAAAATAATTCTCAGTATATCATCTCTCTCTGCCTCCAGTGCCACCATTTTTGTCCTAATCACCAACATCTCTTGTCTGTCAGTTGCAACAGACTCCTAATTGTCTTGCTACTTTTACTGTTGCTCTCCTATGATTTGTTTTGTACTGAGAAACCAGAGTGNTCCTAATTGTCTTGCTACTTTTACTGTTGCTCTCCTATGATTTGTTTTGTACTGAGAATTTTGTCTTTACAAAATTTAGTCATTTCAGTTTACTTCCCTGCTTATATCCTCCAATGGTTTCTCATTGAACTATGAATATAAACAAAATCCTTTAGCAGGGCCTCTAAGACCCTACATGATTCTCTCCCTCTGCTAATAAACACTAGTAATACTGTCCTCTGCCATTTCCTAAAATAACAAATCACACACTCTTTCACACACCGAAGCCTCAGCACTTCTTTCCCTATACCTGGAATACAATTCTGTCTGCCTGTCATCTGACCGCCTCTTTCCCAAACTTCTCATCTCAGCTCAAACATCACCTCATCAGAGCGATCGTCTCTAACTGCCATACTTAAAGAGCCCCCACTCCAGTAACTTTCTGTTATAGCACCCTCTGTTTATTTATTTTGTTGCTCATCATAATCTGCAATTTATTTATTTGCTTGGCTATGCATTTTCCCCGCAACTAGAAGGTAGACCCTAAAAGGGTAGAGTGGAGATGCCCAGTCATCGTTGCAGCCCCAGGGCCAAGCCCAGTGCTTGTTACACAGTAGGTGTCACTGTATGCTGGTTGAATG